TTAGCTGATTGCTGAACCCCATGACGCTGACTGACCTCGGGCTGCAAGGCCCAGATTGAGTTCCCCAACCTTTTGAATGGTTGAACTCTGCAACATTCTATTACAGGTTTCCCACGCCCTTTCTTTAAAGATGTTCAAAGTTGGGAACTCAGAAAAATACCCTTGATGACCACCTCTGTCTTTGCAGAGTGGGTCCAAAGACTGACACAGACAGAAGGTCTGAGAGTGGGGGGGAGGGGTTATGGGGGTTCAGGGGTGCCCACGTGGCTACCTTCCCGGCACTTGAGGGATGGAGGCTGCGTCGGGAGCAGGCCTGGTTCTCCTTCCCATGGTGGATCGGGGCCGGCCTACCTCCTGGCACTTGAGCAATGGCTGATTATGTAATTTTTGATATCTTAGGATTTGAGCCTGCCGTTTCATTTTCTAAATTTCTATTTCTCTCTGTTTTTCACTTCCCTGTTTTATTCCCACCACCCCCCTGCTTTCATGTTGGTTGCTTGAAAGTGGTTTTATATTTCCATTTTGACTCACCTCCAGTGCTATTGGTAGATCTCTTTGTATAGTATTTCTGGGGATTGCACTGGACATCATTTCCTTTCAGTTTAGCTAGCTTGCTGGGCCATCCTTTCAGGATAGGTGTGCTGGTGACACATTCTTACTTTTCCTTCATCTGAGAATGTCTTCATTTCTCCTTCAGACTTGATGGACATAGAATTCTGTATTTTGACATTTCCTTTCTTTAGCCCTTAAAAGTGGTTGTGCTGATTTTTTCTCTGGCTGCTGTGGTTTCTGATGAGAAATCTACCATCATCTATCTGAATTGTTTATTTTCCCACATTGTTTTTCTCTTGCCACTGTCAAACTTGTTTATTTCTATTTGATTGCCAGAAGTCTGATAACTAAGTGTCTTGGGTTGGATTTTTTTATTTATTCCATGTGGGGTTCACCTACCTTCTTGGATCTGTAGGATGTATCTTTGGCAGTTTTGCCCAGTTTCTTGTTTTTTCTAGACTTTAGTGATATGAAAATTAGATATTTTTGTAAGGTTCCAAACATCTGAGAGGCTCTATTTACCTTATTTATTCTGTTTTATTTCTATTTTGAAGGCTGGGTGATATCTATTGTCTACCTTCCAGTTCATTAATTTTCCTCTCTGTTGTCTCTGTTTGGATGTTGAGCCATCTACTGAGTTTCTAAAATTTCTATTATTATATTCTAGAATTCCATAATCTTTATTTGCATGTTTTTTGTGTCTCTGTCTTCTAGTTCTTGGCTAAAACTTTAAAAAATTTGTTTCTTTTTGACAAAATTTTTAGAAAATTGTTTAGCATGTCTGTAATTCACTGAAGCATTTTTGTGATAGCTGCTTTTAACCATTTTCCATATAGTTCCTATATATCTGCCATCTTGATATTGGTGTCTACTGATAATCTAAAATTCAGGTTGAGATGATCCTAGTTCTTGGTATGATGAGTGACTTTAAACTGAAACTGCACATTTTGGACACTATGTTATGAAACTCTGCTTCATATTGCATTTTCTTGGATGTTCTGACATTGTTTTGGCAGAGTGAGGGAGGGCTCCCCCTCATTACACCCAGGTGCTACCCAGCTCCAACTTAACCTCTAAAATTCCCCTCACCAACAAAATGCACACTGGTATCTTACAAACCCTGAGGCAATTGTATGTACTCCATTTTGAAAGATTTTCATGGAGTTGATTCAGACATTTAGGAGTCTGTATTATCGTATTTTTATATATAATGACAGAGTAATTATGATGCTAACTAATAATGGTTTGTTACTGATAGTGATCATTTTCTATTTCCAGCAGTGCTCAATTAGTGGCCACTGGTAATCTAGAGGGATGTTAGTCTCTAAATGGCTTTCTTTCATCCTCTCCTAATGGTGTCCGTGATGCTGCCCCCTGGCCCTGGTGGCTCTTGATTGGTATCAAGAGACCATTGAATGGTAAACATATGTCAAAAAAATTCCTATCACTTCCATTTCTGTTTCTGTTTGTGTAGTGTCCTCCCTGGTCTGGAGGCCTAGTTTCAATGAATAGCCAGCCTAGTGCCCTAGACTGCATATTGGGAAAACAATGGGTAAATAATGGAGTAGTTGGAGTGAGGAGTCTGTTGTCTCTTTTTCTTTCATGAAGTTTTTGCCCAGCAAGTAGGAACAAGATGACCTGGGGACACAAGGAAGCTGCTCAGGATTCTATGTGAATGCTCTCCCAAGTTCTTTCACAGCCCTGAGGAGGTTGGTACCCTTATTTCTTTCCCAGAATTACATCAGGTGAGCCTTCCACCAAGATGTCACTTTGATTTATTCCAAACACGGAAAGGAAATTTACTGAAGAAGGAAGATTCACATGAGATGCACATGTTGAACTTTCCACTCAGACAAACAAAGGGCATCTCAAATGTGAGTGCTTATTTACTTACATTTCAGCTGCATAGACCATCATCCATCTCAGTTTATTGGAAGTGTGAAAGAGCATAGGCTAGAGCTCTGGGTACTGTGAGCTGCTTGTAGGTGAGTTGTGGCCCTAGAGTGACTGGACCACTTTCCCATTCATTCCTTTTTTTTTCTACTGATACATTTGTAGTTCAAAACATGAAAAAGAACTCCTAGCATATGATGAAATAAATTTTTGGAGAGATTATAGAATTCCATTCCATAGTGTGTGTGTGTGTGTGTGTGTGTGTGTGTGTGTGTGTGTGTGGTGTTGAGGTTTGTACCATGGGCTAATGCAATGCCATAGTAAGCACTGTAACACACTGCTACAACTCCTGCTATAGTGTGTTTATTTCAGTTATAGTTTTCCTTTATCAATAACTAAAGGACTTTTTCTTAGTTGGCAATGTACTACAGGAAAATGACCAATACTGTTAAAATGACATTATCCTTTATGAAAATGGATAGTTACCTGCATGGTTCTTAATTATGAAACATAGTATTTTAAAATAATAAGAAAGCCCAAATGCTATGCTGAGGTTATTTTACATGTTGAATAAAATATTTTTCAGCCAAGAAACTTCCATATAGTTGAATGACAATAGATTAAAGAAATGGAAAGGCCAGTGCTGTTGGGAGCAGGGAACAGCACGGCTGTCCAAGAGTTCGTTTTGGAGGGCTTCCCTGCCGTCCAGCACCTGGGGAAGGTCCTCTTCCTGCTGCACCTGCTCGCCTACCTGGCATCTGTCACAGGAAACTCCCTCATCATCACCATTACCTGGGCTGACCAGCGCCTACACACACCTATGTACTTCTTCCTCAGCACTTTCTCCTTCTGTGAATGTGGTTTCATCACCTCAGTTATTCCTAAGCTGCTATCAATCTTTCTGTCAGGGAGGCAAACTATTTCCTTTGCTGCTTGCTTCACACAAGCATTTGTTTTTCTTTTCCTGGGTGCAACTATTTTCTTCCTGATGGCTTTGCTGTCCTTGGATCGGTACCTGGCCATCTGTAAACCTCTACACTACCACATTATCATGAACCCAAGGGTGTGTTTCCTACTGGTCACTGCCTGCTTCTCGTTGGGAGTTTTCCTCATGGTGGTTCCAGTTATAAAGCTGTCCCAATTGTCCTTCTGTGGCCCCAATGTCATCTCTCACTTCTTCTGTGATCTTGGACTCTTGGCAAATCTCTCCTGTTCTGAAACCAGATCTATTGAAACATTGTTCTTCAAGCTTGTCTTTTTTCTCCTTTTTGCATCAGTTCTTATAACTGTCATTGCCTACAGCAACATAGTGGTCACAATCATGCGTCTCCCATCAGCCAAGGAGCGGCAGAAAGCCTTCTCCACCTGCTCCGCTCACCTTGCTGTCCTCTCGCTGATGTATGGCAGCTGTGTCTTCATCTATGTGAAACCAAAGCAAACAAGCAGACTAGACTCCAATAGAGAGGCTGCCCTGGTGAACACAGTGGTGACTCCATTGCTAAACCCTGTCATCTACACCCTGCGCAACAAGCAGGTCCACCAGGCACTGAGGTTTGCTCTATCCAGAGTTATGTTGCAGAAATAGAACTGTAACCTTTTAAGGGAGGGGTATGTCTTCCCTTCCACCTAATCTAATTTCTGTTTCTGGAGACATCTACTTAACTTTGAAACTATATCATTTTTTTCAGTTCCACTTGTTTATTCTTAGAATAATGGCTAATGAATCCAGTAACCCAAACTGAAAGCTTCTTCATATTGAGATGAAAATATCTCCCTGAGTCTTCTTTTTATCAATTTGAAATTAATAAAACCCAACATAGTTAATAAAGAGTATAATACACAAATTTGTTTGATATGTTGAATTTCAAAACCAAATGTCAGTGGTTTTGAATATGTACTTGTGGTGAGTGCATTCTTGAGCCCTTTGAATATCAGAGTGATCCAAAGACAGAGGTAACATGTCAGCATATCAAATTTTACACAGTATCAATGCATTCCTTAAAACGATTCTATACAATTGTTTTAAATGTTGCATATTTGGTATATGAAAACAAATCTGTATACTTCTACTTCCACGTTGCTGGAAACATGCAAAGTCTCCAGATGAAATTGGAAGTCTCCATTGTTTTGTTGGTGGTCTGCCACACTGAACCAAATGCATGAAGACCTGATGACAAAACGCCATAGGAAAGGTATGAGACTTGGAAGAAGGAATTGAATATTTATGAGTGTTTACCTGTTGCAATAAATTTAAAGAAATTTAGGGAAAGCAAATCAGAGTCAGTCTAGGTGTGCCTATAAAGTATCTCCAACTGAATCTATGAGCAAATCTCTACATTAGTGGAGTGAGACATTTGGGTGTGATCATTTCCAGCTGTCCCTTTCAGGACCAATGTGAAATGACAGTTTTCATAGTAAGGTGGCATAAGCACACTGTGAGCATGCTCTATAGAAGGTGATGGTAGATATGATGGAAGAGTCCAGTTGCAACTATAATTTTATTATTAAAGGTTTTAGTAGGAAATGAGGGACTAGAGACAAAACTCTGGTGCTGGAGCTTGTTTGGCATAAGTAGGTAAAGGTGAAGACCATGCTTTGCTTTGACAACATTGTTCTGTACTTGTGGGAATGATGAATGACTGCATTTGGACTATTCTGGAGACTTAAATATGAAAGAGTTTGAAGAATAGATAATTCAACTAAGAAAATATAAAGTTTTGTCTGTGCTGAGTTTATTTAAGGATTTCCATAAAACATTGTGTAATTTCATTTCTTTTTCCTCTTCAAATATTTGCTTTGCTGACCTAATTTCCTTGCTTAAGATTTTTTCCAGAATGACCAGTGTACTGTGTGGTCATTGCTTTTGGGGTCCTTAAAATATGAAACTTTAATAACCCCATATTGGTGATTGGCCTTTAAATAAATGGGTAAATATACAATGTTTATTGTAATGTTAAGAAATACATAAAATTGAAAATAATTGATTTTATGTTATTAACAGATCTAATTTCCCACAATTTGATATACCACAGATTATCTGTGACTCTGATAATTGACTCTGGACAGCTTGTGTCTTTTGGTACCATAGTACTTTTGTGTTCATGTATTTTTCGGAATACTTATGCTTCACTCTTTTGAGTTAGGAAAGTGATTGTGGTGGGGAAGTAGGGAGAAAGCACACAAAAGTCAAGAAGTCCATTGTGGTAACATTTGGCAAGTTTCTATTTTTGGCTCTTGTGAATAGTACTACTGTGAACATGTGTGTATATATGTTTGCTTGGATATTGGTTTTAAATTTTTTTTACAAACTAGGGCAGAAACTGTGGTACAGGGAGTAGGGGAATCACATAATTGAAGGTTAAGCAATTTCCTTTGAGGAGATGAAAATCTTTTGGAAGTAGATAGAGGTAGTGATTGCATACATTTTGAATGTACTATATACCACTGGACTTTTCCATTTTAAATGACTAATTTTGTAGGTGTGCTTCTCTCAATTAAAAATACTATATTCCTCAAAGGTTTATGTATTATTGAAAGTTTTACAGTAAAAATAACAAAATCTCTTAGGCAAAGTGGCTGAGTAGGAGATATGAGCCCTCATTAACCACTGCAAATTCCACAAACATAAAATAAATGAACAGGAACCTAGATACCAAAGTAGCACTGGGAAGATTCATGCGTCCATTTAAAATTGTACATCAATGCAGTGAATCAAAAACAATTGGAGAATAGCTATACAGAAAGGACAGTTGGTGAGCTTGGCATAGCTGAGATGCCAGGAGAGGGCTCAGAACAAAAGAAGAAGCTGAGGCTTTTGGTATCAGCTGTGAGGCAGGAGCCACTGCAGCCCACAGTGACTTTCCTATGGAGGACATCAGCACCTTTGTCTCTGAGGCAACCAATGGCCATTCCTATGGGGAACCCCAGAGCTGTAGACATGGCTGCATTCACCTGCTCCTCAGGAAACAGCTGCTGTGGGGATAAAGCACTCAAGGGGCAAAGGTTTCCTTTGTGGTGATGTTTGGCTAGTTTCCATTTTGGGCTGTTGTAAATAGTGGTGCTGGCAACATGTGTGCACATAGGTTTGCTTAAATACTGGTTCTAATTCTTTTATAATCCTAGGACAGGAACTGTAGTATGGGGAGAAGGGAGTATCTGATTGAACTTTGAGGTGATGAAAATGTTTTGAAACTAGATAGAAGCAGTGATTGCATACATTTTGAATGTACTACATGCCACTGAATTGTTTCATTTTAAATGATTAATTTTGTAGGTGTGCTTCTCTCAATTAAAAATCTCACATTCCAGTCCTCCTTCTGTCTCTGTTTCTGACAGAAGCTATCTTGTCTCTCAAAAATTTTTTCTTACTCTTAACCTACATTGTTTCTAGAATTCATTCATCAATTTTAGAGAACATGAACTTGCACCTTGGATATCTAGCAGGTTTGGGAGTCACATCCCTTCCCCATTTATCATTTTGGAGGTCTTCTACTGAGACTGGAGACTCAAAGCTATATACTTAACCAAGATGACAATGCCTGGCACCTATCGAGGGCCTTTAGATAGACCCTCTGTAGAGTACTCTGACAGAGGATCACAACTACGATGCTCTTGAGCTGGAAGTAGCCAGAATGGTCTCCAATCTTTGCCTCCTCATAGCAGTTAGGGTTACTTCTTCAGAGGGGGGAATATTGTAGATAGGCAAGATAATTTGATATCTTGTAAGAAGTTGGATAGGGCTGGCTCTCGAGTAACCAACATGGAGGACAACTGACCCAATGTGGAAGACAATCAAGCCAACATGAAGGACAATCGAGCAAAAATGGTGGACAATTAAGACATATTCACTGAAAGCCAGCATCATAAAAGAAAATAAACTACCACACCTGCATAGCATGAATGGGAATGACTGTTGTTGTAAATAGATATCAATCACCTGGTTGGGGGAATGAGATCTTCCAAGAAAGATCCCTGACCCAACCCTTACCACTGAAAATCCTTGCCTATTCTGTGTACATTTGCTATGTAACTTGCTTCCCCATTTAATCAACATTACCTAAGTGAGTATACTTGTTGTAATCTTATTGGTTGTTCATAGTATTTTCCATCTTGTGATTTCTCATTGGATTTGTATTACTTAAGCAACTATACCTGCAATCTTAGTTGATTACTAGTTGATTATAGTTTTGTTCCACCTTCAACCTATCTCACCTCATGGATTTGTCCCATAAAACACCTTTGATAAGTTGGATTAGCAGACAACCTACTTTCTGGTCCCCCTTCTGTCTCTCTTAGGTAGAAGCTATCTTTCAATACATTTTTTCTATTCTTAAAAAAGAATCTCATATTCTTCAAAGTTTTATGTTGAAAACTTTACAATAAAAAATTACAGTCCCTCTTAAGTAAGGAGGCTCAGTAGGAAATACCATACCTCATTACCTACAAAAATTCCACAAACATAAAACAAAAATGAACAGGAACCCAGATACCAAAGTAGCTCTAGGAAGGCTCAAGGGTCTATTTAAGAATTTGTTTCAATGCAATACAGCAAAACCAATTGGAGAATAGATATACAAGAAGGAACACTGGTGAACTTGGCATAGCTGAGATTCCAGGAGAGGGCTCAGAACAAAGGTGGCAGTAGAGCCTTTTTGTGTCAGCTGAGAGGCAGGAGCCATTATGGTCCTTTGTGGCTCTCCTGTGGAGGACAGTGTACCTTTGTTTCTGAGGCAACAAATGGCCATTCCTGCTTGGTTCCCAAGAGGTGGTGATGTGGCTGCACACATCAGCCCCTAGGGAATCACCTGCTGTGCTCCACTCTGGGTCCCAGCCTGCCACCTCTCCCAATCCTGTGTATGTGCCTTGGCTGTCTCTTGAGTGCTCAAGCTCCAAACCCAGCACTGTGTGTGCACTGCTTCTGACCCCATGTCCTATACATTGGAGCCACTGCATAGTGAAGTGGCTTGACTCAGGTCCCAGAAGCCCAATTTCTCCGTTGACAAGGTTTCCCTCTCAAGTCCTCAGCTCAGCTGCCACTGAGAGCTATCTCATTTTCTGGACTTGGCTGTGAGGCTGCACTCTACAACCATGCCTCAAACACTACAGTCACTGCCTCATTACCAACCTCTTGCCCTGGGCCCTGGCATTTGTGTGTACCTGTGCTTGAGGCATCAATTCAGCCAGCCCCACCCTGACCTCGAAGTCACTGTGGCCTGTGCATGCCCATGCTCCCATCTTCAGCCTCCTGGCTGCTACACAACTATCATTACCATTACCTGGCTGCATACAACTACCAACTTGGCCCTGGGATGTCAGTATCCTTGGCACTGGTACCATAATAATCCCTGGACCCAGAGGTGTGGTGCCCCAATGTATGGCCATGCTTTAAAACTTGGCTCCCTGGTGGCTCCATAAGTGCCACATCTCAGGCACTAGTGCTCTGTCACAAAAGTCGGCCTCAGCCACACTCAATATCAAGAGGGTTTCTTGGGCAACAGCTTCCTAAGTGAGAGAAAAGAGAGATTGGGAGATTGGAGAAAACACATCAGATGCTGATGACCATTGCTTCTGAAGACCCTACCAGTG